ATGATAAGTGAAATAAACCTGACACAGAAGGACAAATACAGCATCATTATACTTATATGAGGTATCTAAAATTAGGAAACTCATAGAAAGAGGGTAAAATGATGCTTTTCAAGGTCTACGGGGAGGAGGAAGTGGGAAGTTGCTGTTCAACAGGTCTAAAGTTTCAGTTATACAAGATGAGTAAGTTCTAGAGGTTTGTTGTACAATATTGTCCTTTTAGCACGGCATTGTTCACTTAAAGATTTCTCAAGAGGGTGGATCTCATGTTAAGTGTTCTTACCACAGTTAGAAAGCAAGAAGATGGTCTGAAATCCTATTAAATTTCTGGGACTGTACATGCTGGAATGAAAATGAATCCTGTGCAAGTTGCATGAGTTCCCCCAGGAGAGATTTTCACATATTCTTGCAGCCAGGATAGCAGGATTGTGAAGAGCTGCTTGCTTGTTTGATGAGCAGCAAAACATTTTGGATTTAAAAATGTGCATTAATGACATATTTTACTCTGGATTTTTTTTTCTTGATTGTATGCATACTCTTCATCCATTGAGAGAAGCACATGCTAGAAGAGATGGCTCCTGTCTTACGATTAAGATACTGATATGGATTAGATTGAGTGATACTGGTTAAAAGTAAGAAATATATGGAACTCAACAATAGAAAAAGAGTTTACTGTTATGGAGATGATACCGCCTAATACCCTTGTGTACTTGTGAGGATATTTCTAGGTTCTAGATGAAAAGTGAACATTTTCTGATAGCGAAAAATAATAATAGTAAAAACAGCACTCCTTTATATGTATGTAGAACTTTGGTTTTCACTGTATTTCAAAAAATTTCTTCCACTTAACCCTTACATAGCCCAATGGGAAGTATCCTGCAGGTTTTGCTGGTGATGGTGGGAGTCTTGTGTGATTATTGGTGGTGGTGCCAAATCCCAGGGCTATGACTGTGGCTTTTCTTGTTGCTTCTCAGGATCTCACTAGGAGGCCTTTATCATCTCTATGTGGTTCCAGTTTTTGGCTTGGGGCCTGGTAGCCTTCAGCAGTGTCATGGGACTGTATACAGGCTGTGGTGGTCTTTGGATGTGTAAACTTAGCTAGGCTACAGCCCCTGTTACTCAATCAAATGCTCATGTAGGTGTTGTCCTGAAGGTATTTTGTAGGTGATTAAGGTCCATTGTAAGGAAGATGATCTTAGGTCATTTGGGCGAGCCTGATTCTATCAGTTGGAAGTCCTGAAAAGCAGGCTGAGGATTTCCTGGTGAAGGAGAAATCCTTCAGGTGGACAGCAACTTCAGGCCATATCCTGGAATCCCAGCTTACACCTGCTGGAGGCCTGCTCCCTGGACTTCAGATTTGCCTAGTGTTACCCCACGATCACATACGCCAGTTCTTTGAAATAAGCCCCTTAATATTTATCTTCGATTGGTTCTCCTTTGCCTGAACCCTGACTGGCGCACAGGGGTGTTCACTGTGAACAAACTCAGCCATCTCAGAGCACATCCCTCTCCCCACTCCCTCCTGGTTGAGATGTCCCAAGATGTGAAGGAACCACACTGGAATGGGACGTGCAAATGAGAATGATTCTGGGAGAGCCCCTGCTGCCAAAATGCCCCCTGTTCGCAGGCCAGGGATGCTTTGTATCTTGGGGAAGTGTCAGGAGCCTGGTGGTTTTATAAAAGGTACTCAAAGTTCATGGGTTCTAAACTTGAAGGGGGGGTCCTTCATTCCATAGGTATTTGTAGGAGAAGGAGGTGTACAGTGTATGTTTTGTTTGGAGTCCCAAGGAATCTTCCTGAGTTTCTCAGTTCTTTAAGAAAGTCCAAACCTCAGAATTTTGATTTTGGCAAGCTTTCTTAGTTTAAATGGGCCTTTGCTTTAGTCTAGACATAAAATCCATAATTGGATTAAGGGTAGCCAGGCAGTTTCTCTGAGATGTTGCAGTTGGTGGGTGAACTGGTCTCTGGATGCTCATGTTGCATCTAGCATGTGACTACTGGCATCTTGGACTATACTGTTGTTAGAGGATGACTCTGGACCGAATCACATCCCTTCCAAATGTGACTGCACTTGAAGACAGGACTTTTAGGAAGTAAATAAGGTTAAATGAGGTCACAAGGGTGGGTCCTAAATGCTATAGCAGTGATGGCTTTATAAGAAGGCAGAGAAAGAGAGAGAGAGAGAGAATACAGTTCTCTTTCCTCTCTCTCCATGCACACACACAAAGGAAAGGCCCTGTAGGACACAGTGAGAAGGCGGCTGTCTGCAAGCCAGGAAGAGAGCCCTCAGACTTTCTGCTTTCAGAACTGTGAGAAAATAAATCTGTTGTTTACACCACCAGTCTGTGGTATTTTGCTATGACAACCTGAGTAGAGCAAGACAGACTGACTTTGGTAAATATTGGAGATACCTCTTTTAGGGTCAAATAACCTTAAGGATTATTTTTATTATTTTCATTTTTTTAAAATAAGAAAAATGGACTTCTTTCACTAAAGTTTAAACATATCTGAAATGATCAACGGTACTGATCACAAATGAAGAGTCAATTCAAGACGAAAACATTTACTGAACAGCTGCCATAGTTGTGTAAAATGTTTCATGAAAGAATAAGAAAGAAATGAATGAATTGGGCTCCACACTCAAGGAACTAAAGCTTACTATTCAAGAATAGTCAAAAGATAACACCTCTAGCAGTTTAATTTGCACATCCTTTGGTGTTTATTGAAGTTATGTGTCTACTTACTACTTACATGGGCAAAAGAAATGTGTGAGAATGCTGCTCTCCTCTTCACATTGAAGCACCAAATACAGAATGTTTTCCTTTTGGGGTTTTCTTGAGGTTCCTACCGGTAGATATTGCCACAATTTTTGCTAAGACCCTGTTGAAGTTTTTGCTGTTAAAATTTGCTATGGTTTTGACCTTTTCTTCTCCTCCTACGTCCTATTTACTTTGCATTCAATGGTCACGAACAGTTCTAACACCAGCGGCTCTGAAGCTAACCTCCAAGTCAAAGTCTAACATAGAGTGCAGGGTTCCCATGTAGACTGGTCTGGTTTAAATCCTAATTTGCCTTTAATGAGAAATCACTGAAAGGCTTCAGGTTTTGCGTTTTTAAAACGGGATAATAATACCCACACTTCATGGCTTAGGCTAAGTAAAAAGTATAGTATGTATTTACTCCCGTAAATGCTCCATACGTAATATTTATGTTTATCATGGAGGAAGATATAATACTCCAAAGTAACAAATCTCTAAACTTTGGTCTGAAAACAGTCTCTTTACTGCTAATCTGTTAAGGTTGTATGGTTAATTCACTAATTTGCTCATAGGGACTGTGGTCTATGTATAATGAGATGTGTGGTCACAACTGTCATTATGCACAGTTCCTGTTATTTGCAAGAGGAACATATTGCACAAGAGACATAAAAGGGTAAAGTCTATTGGCAGAGAAAAATATAGGAGCAGCTGCTGTCGTTTCAATGTCCAGTAGATCAGGAGATTTGGAAAGGGGCCTGGCAATACCATAGGCCTTTCGTGTCTGGAATTTGATTCTTCAATAACCCAAAATAGGAGCAGTGGGAGTGGGGAGGGCCTCCTAATGGATTCATGAGCCTATTTTATGTTTTGAAAATATCACTAAATGGAGGATGAATTGCTATGTTTGGTCTTTTTCTAACATTGTCATTTATTATCAATATATTTGGCTTTGCTCCATTTCTCCTCTTAAGTCACAGTGTGTTATTTTTGGAAAACATAATCATGTCCACAGAAACTTGCGTTTTTCCATAAATCCTAGAAGACATAAAATGTAGGATAGAAAGTACAAGTGGATAAGCGTGTAACTGGCAGGATTATCTTTATGTAAATATACTTTATCAATGAAACAGAAAGTAGGACCAAAACAAACAATTTTAAGCAAATATTAAAAGCCTCAAATGATACATATATATTTGTATGTGTATATATATCTATACACACACATATATATATGCATGTATGTTTGTATGTATGTATCTACTACCTATATCTACCTGTCAGTCTATCTAGATAAAAAGATAAAATTGAATCCTATGAAATAACAGTTTTGTAGATCACACCTCTACTGTAAAATATAAGTAATTTTACACAGTTCAACTTAAAATGCATAGACGAATGAAGAATTACATGGTTACTATAAGACTTTCTCTTACCTGTTATTTCATTTGCATCTATTTAAATTATTTATTCCTGCAGCATCATTCTTACATGAAAGCATGATCTTAATACAAACAGAGTTGCAGCACTAATCACATTAACACTGCAGATGTGTCTAACCTTATTCACAGTCCCAAGTAATTACCACAATGCAAATTGTAGCACGTATCTCTATTGTATATTACTGCTTTGTATTTAATATTTTTCCTCTGATGAGTTCCAAATCACAGAAGGAATGCACATTTGTCGCAACAAGTGAGATAATACAATACAAAGGTGAACAAAGGCAAAGTCAATCTTCCCTCCTTGCCCTCCCTTCCTTCTATGTCACCCCTGAAGTATCTCTACATCTCTAGTTTTCCCTGAAGGGAATCTTATCTCACAGGAGGATGTGTGGCCCGCCTCCCTCCCTTCTTTCTTCCTTGTGCTGTCTTTCATTTCCCATTAACTGTTGCCTTGCTTTTCTTGGTGCAGTGTGTTGACTCCCCTGATTCACTGCATTGCAAGTTATTGTTCTGAGGGTAGGAATTAAAGGGGACACAGCAGGCAGCTCATTCCTCTTTCACTTATTTGGGTGTCAGATTTGACCACAATGACCTCAGAAAAAAAATACCAGAGAAGAGGGATTACCTCGCCACCTCTCCATCTTACCTTTTTTTTCTTATCTGGACACTCAAACCCTGCTAGTCGCATGACACCTGATATGGTTTGGCTCTGTGTACTCACCCAAATCTCATCTTGAATTATAATCTCCATGTGTTGGGGGAGGTTCCTGGTGGAAAGTGCCGGAATCATGGGGGTGGACTTTCCCCTTGTTATTCTCAGAATGAGTCTCATGAGACCTGGTGGTTTAAAAGTGCATGACACTTTCCCCTTGTGCTCTCTGTCTTTCCTGCCACCATGAGAAGACATAACTTGCTTCCTCCTCACTTTCCACCATGATTGTAAGTTTCCTGAGGCCTCCCAGTCATGCTTCCTGTTAATCCCGTGGAACTGTGAGTCAACTAAACCTCTTTTCTTCATAAATAATCCAGTCTCAGATAGTTCTTTATAGCAGCGTGAGAATGGACTAATGCAAGCATGAACCCTGTTGTGAACTGTGCAGGGGAGGGATCTAGATTGTGTGCTCCTTATGAGAATATAATGCCTGATGATCTGTCACTGTCTCCCATCACCTCCAGATGGGAACGACTATTCACCTGAAGGGGACTTGGCCTCAGATGACAAACCTCATTCAGGGCCAACAGAGCCTGAAAAGTGCACATACATTTTGGTTGCACTGCAAATTTCTGATCAGGAATATCTGGTCTAGGCTACCTTTTTCATTCCTCTTTCCGGGTGGCTCTTGCTGCTGATGACTACTGGCCTCTGTATTTTCCTTTGGGATTTTCTGTATTGATTTTCTCAAGGTCACACACTCCAGGCCATGGGCTTTCTCTGACCCCCTCCCCGGGTGTCTCTCCCATTCCTTCTCTGCTACCAGAGCCCTCCTTGTGTCAGACACCTGCCACTCCTGGTCTTCTTCTGCTGGTGGCTCCTCCCTTGGGCACTACATCCTCTTGGTGGCAGGTCACCTGCTTAATTGAGGTAGTAACATGTATGTATATTGCTTTCAAGTGTCATAATGTTTTCACATATAATTACTTCATTTAATTTTCAAAAGAGCATTGAGAAATGAAAGAGTAAAACTTGTTCCTACTTAGCACTTGGAAAAACTGAACCTGGAGGAGTTTGCATGATTTTGCTAATGCCTTTGCTAGGATTGTTAGGTTCCAGGGAGGTCTAAAAACCCAGATTGCCCAATTCGTAGTTTGTGTATTTGCTCCTGTTTACCATGCTGTAGATGTCCTCTGGGCTCTGCTTCATGGCTCTTCATAGCTTCTGAAACACCAAGATCCTTTTAAAAGACAAAGCTTTCCTTAAGTTCCCCCTCCCACCACTTAACCCCCAAGATGAAACCCAGCTTGCTTATTTAAAAAAATGCAGTCTTCTCTAGAAATTCTTTAACTTCCACCTAGAGAAAATGCCTATCAAGGTTAGAGGATTTCCTTTTCTCCTAATTTATTTATTTCTTGTTTTTCACATAAACCGTGCTTCTATTTGGGCCTCTCCAATCACACTGCACTGGATCAGTAAGCATAGAAACATTAGGGGCAACTTTTTTATACTCCCAGGGCACTGCAGGATAACAATCTAGCCTTCTCACAGCATTTAATTAAATACTATTTTAAACATCCCAATAAGAACATACGTTCAACCTGGAAACTCCCACACAGTGACAACTTTCAATTAATTACATGTGTGTTTTCCCCTTGGTATGATCCTTTTTCATTACTATGTAAAACAATGGCTGATAAGGGCACCTCAAACTTTGAAACTTCACAAGTCACTTAATGTCTCTTGGGCTTCAGTTTCCTCATCTGTAAAATAAAATAGTGCCCTTGACAGGTGCAAGTTTGGAAGTCAGCTATGCATGAAGTAGAGTCTTGACACTGTCTATCTGTATAAGATGAAGCTACCGTGTTCCAGTAATCAGGTGAAATGTGCTTGATGCTGTACTGGTATCTTGCAATTTTTTTTTTTTTTTATGTGTCATGGTCATATGGTTAGGCTTTGTGTCCCCACCCAAATCTCATCTTGAATTGTAATCCCCATAATCCCCACCTAGGAGAGACCAAGTGTAGGTAATTGAATCATGGGGGCATTCTCCCTCATGCTGTTCTCATGAAATCTGAAGGTTTCGTCAGGGTCTCTTTCCACTTGGTTCAGCACTGCTCCTTCCTGCTGCCTTGTGAAGAAGGTGCCTTGATTCCCCTTCACCTTCCACCATAATTTTAAGTTTCCTGAGGCCTCTCCAGCCGTGCAGAACTGTGGGTCAATTAAACCTCTTTTTTAAAATAAATTACCCAATCTCAGGCTTTTAGCAGTGAAAATGAAGAAGGTAGGATGCTTTGACTCATTAAGTCAGGATTATTCATGCTGGTTATTCAAACCAGGTAGTGTTGTCCTTCAACTGTGCATCCCCTTGAGAGGTAGGTTCTGGTAAGGAGCTGGCCATCACAGGACATCTGCAATTTGCCTTCAGATCCTCGGGAGCTGACAGCAGCCTGTTTGTTGCCACTGACAACTGTCTGATCTAGGAGATGTGACCATTCCTCAGTTTTGCATGGCAATTTTTTCTTAAAGATTTTTCAAACATATACTAAAAATGATACAATTCATCATCACAAAAATGGGTGTTGGATGGTGGAGAGACAGTACAGTATTATCACTAATTCCCTATTAACTGGAACACACAGTACAGGGTAAAAGCATCTTGCAATTGAATTAACCAAGATACAGGCTAAGAGTATGTAACTCTGGAACAACAAACATGAAATTACCTTTACAGAGAGGGTCTCTCTAAGGGACAACTCTAAGATTCCACCCTCTGTGCTTAATTTTCCCTTCACTCTGCTTTATTTGTCTTTATGGCATGAGCACTCTTTAACATTCTATTAAATATATTCTTGTGTATATATATATGTTTATTAAATATATTCAAGTATGTATGTATTTATTAAATATATTATAGTCTGCATATTTTTTGTTTGCTGCCTGCCTCCTCTTTGCAAATGTATCTCCATGAAGGCAGACTTTGTATATCATATATATCACATAGATGTTCACTAAAAATTTATTTTGTCTTGAGGCATAACAAAGTCAAGGTAACTTAAATGGCAGTGGGATATTCTTAGGGAAATCAGGAGATCTGAGGTTCCTTCTGACTTTGCTGCATTCTTGTCACAAAACTAGAAAAAGTGAACAGTGTTGCCTGGAATTTAGACATATATTGGAATCACCCAAAGGGTTTGCAAAACACAGATTCTTGGGCTTTACCCATAGAATTTCTGGCTCAGGAGGTCTGGGGTGGCACTTACATGTCTTTTTATATATTAATTCATTTTTAATTAACAAAAATTGTATATATTGTGTATAATATAGTGTTTTGAAATATATATATATAAAATGGAATGGTTAAGTCAAGCTAATTAGTATATGCATTACCACATACTTAACATTTTTTATAGAGACAGAACTTAAAATCAACTCTTGGCAATTTTCAAGAATACATTTTTATTAACTCTAGTTATCATGTTGTACAATAGATCTCTTGAACTTGTTCCTCCTAGGTAACTGAAATTTTGTATCTTTTGACCAACCTCTCCCCAATCCCTCAATTCCCTGCCAGCCTCTAGTAACCACCACTGGACTCTATGCTTCTATGGGTTCAACTTTTTAGAATTCCATACGTGAGTGAGATCACATGGTACTTTTTTCCGCTCTGTCTGGCTTATTTCACTTAACATTGTCCAGGTTCATCCATGTTTTAATACATGATGGATTTCCTTCTTTTTAAAGGCTGAATACTACTCTACTCGTTTGTGTGTATGTACCACATTTTCTTTATCCATTCATCTCTTGATGGACACTTAGCTTGAGTCCCTATCTTAGCTACTGTGAATAATGCTATGGTAAGCATGACAGTATAGATGTATCTTTGATATACTGATTTCATTTCCTTTGGCTAAATACCCAATACTGGGATTGCTGGACCCTATGGTAGTTTTATTTTTACTTTTTTGAAGGACCTCCATACTGTTTTCCATAATGGCTTTACTAATTTACATTCCCATTAGCAGTTGTGCAAGGGGTTCCTTTTCTACATATCACTAACACTTACTATTTTTTGTCTTTTTGACAATAACCATTGTGATATCTCATTGTGGCTTTTATTTGTTTTTCCTTGATAATTAGTGATGTTGAGCATTATTCATGTATCTGTTGGCCATTCTTCTTTTGAGAAGTATCTATTCAGGTCCTTTGCCCATTAAAAAAAAAAAATCAGGATTTGTTTTCTTGCTTTTCAGTTGTTTGAGTTCCTTATATACTTTGAATATTAACTCCTTATCAGATGAATGGCTGCAAATATCTTCTACCATTCTGTAGATTGTTTCTCCACACTGCTGATTGTTTCCTTTGCTGTACAGAAGTTTATTAGTTTGATGTAATCCCATTTGTCTATTTTCATTTCCTGTGGTTTTTGCGTCATACAATATCAAAAAAACATCATTGCATAGGTCACTATCATGGAGCTTTTCCTTTATGTGTTCTTCTAATAGTTTTACAGTTACAGGTCTTACATTTAATTCTTTAATCCATTGTTAGTTGATACACCATTTACTGAAGAAACTGTTCTCGGCACTTTTGTCAAAAATCAATTGACCAAAAATGTGTGCATTTACTTCTTAGCTCTCTATTCCATTGGTCTATGCGTCTGTTTTTACAATAGTGCCATATTGTTTTGAGTACTTAGCTTTGTAGTATATTTTGAAGTAAGGTAGTGTGTGATGCCTCCAGCTTTGTTCCTTTTGTTCAACATTACTTTGGCTATTCAGGATCTTTTGTGATTCCATCAGAATTTTAGAATTGTTTTTTCAATTTTATAAAAAATGTCATCGGAATTTTGATAGATATGGCATTGAGTCTGTAGATAGCTTTGAGTGGTACTGACACATTAATAGTATTAATTCCTCCAATCCATAATCACAGGATCTCTTTTCATTTATTCTTCAATTTCTTTCATCAATGTTACATGGTTTTCTGTGTACAGGTCTTTTACCTCCTTGGTTGAATTTATTTCGAAGTATTTAATTTTCTGTAGCCATTATGAATATGATTATTTTGTTGTTTTTTTTTTTTGTTAGTGTATAAAAACACTACTGACTTTTGTAAGCTGATTTTGTATCCTGCAACTTTACAGAATTCATTAGTTTTAACAGTTTTGTCTGTTGTGTGTGTGTGTGTGTGTGTGTGTGTGTGTGTGTGAAGTCTTAGGGTTTTCTGTATATAAGATCATGTTGTCTGCAAACAGGGACAATTTCACTTCTTCCTTTTCAATTCGGATGCCCTTTATTTCTTTTTTCTTCCTGCTCGCTTTAGCTAGGCTTTTCCAGTACTATGTTACATAGAAGTGGGGCATCCTTGTCTTGTTCTGTATCTTAGAGAAAAATTTCCAACTTTTCACTCTTGAGTATGATGTTAACTGTGGGTTTGTCATAGATGGCCTTTCTTGTGTTGAGGTACGGTCTTTCTATACCTAATTCATTGAGGTTTTTCTTTTTATCATGAAAGGATGTTGAATTTTGTCAAATGCTTTTTCTGCACCTATTGAGATGATTATATAATTTTTGTCCCTCATTCTGTTAATGTGGTATATATTACATATGTTGTGAGTGTAAGATTTTCCTATGTTGAACCACCCTTGAATCCCTGGGATAAATCCCACTTGATCATGGTGAATGATCCTCTTAGTGTCCTTTGAATTCTGTTTGCTAGTTTTTGTTTGAGGATTTTTGTATTTATGTTTATCAAAGATAAGGGCTTGTAGTTTACTTTTCTTGTAGGGTCTTTGGTTTTGATATAATGGTAATGCTGGCCTTGTAAAATAAGTTTGCAAGTATTTTCTCTTCAATGTTTTGGAAGAGTGACGGGAGTTTGAGAATGACTGGTGTTCTCTATTTTTTAAATGTTTGGCTGAGTTCAGTGGTGAAGGCATCAGGTCCTAGGCTTTTCACCGATAGGAGACTTTTATTACTGATTCAATCTTTTTTACTTGTTATTGTTCTGTTCAGATTTTCTATTTCTTCATGATTCAGTCTGGATAGATTGTATGTGTTTAGGAATTTTTCCATTTCTTCTAGATTATCCAATTTGTGGGTATATAGTTGGTCTAACAGTGTCTTATGATCCCTTTGCATTACTGTAATGGTAATGTCATCAGTTGTGATGTCTCCTCTTTCAATTCTCGTTTTATTTACTTGAGTCTCTTCTCTGTTTTTCTTAGTCTAGGTAAAAGTTTGTTGCTTTGTTTATCTTTCAAAAAAAAAAAAAACAAAACCAAGTTTTATTTCTGTTGCTCTTTTCTATTGTTTTTCTTGTCTCTAATTCATTTACTTTGAGTCTGATCTTTATTATTCCTTCCTTCTGCTAACGTTAGGGTTAAGGTGCAACATTAGGTCATTTGAAACACTTCTTTTTTGGTATAGGCATTAATTGGTATTAGCTAACCTTTGAACTGCTTTTGCTGCTCCTCATAAATTTTGGTATGCTGTGTCCCTTATTTGTCTCAAGGTATTTTTAAATTTCTCTTTTAATTACTTCACAGATCCATTTGTTTTTCAAAAGCATGTTGCTTAATTTCCATGTATTTGTGAATTTTCTAAAATTCCTCGTTATTATAGTTTTGTACCACTGTGGTCAGAAGAGACTTGACAGGATTTCAATCCTCTTCAATTTGTTCAGACTTGTTTTGTGGCCTAACATATGATCTAACATGGAATGGTCCACGTATGCTTAGAAAAATGTATATTCTGCTGCTATTGTATGGAATGTTTTGTATTTGTCTGTTAGGTCCATTTGGTCTAAGGTATAGTTTAAGTCCAATGTTTCCTTATTGATTTTTTTCTCTGGATGATCTATCCACTGCTAAAAGCAAGATATTGAAGTCTCTTATTCTTATTGTTTGAGTCTCTCTCTCCCTTCAAGAATTTATTAATATTTGCTTTATATATTTAGGTGCTCCAATTTGGGTTGTACATATGTTTACAACTGTTGTATTCTCTTGATGAATTTACTCCATTGTCATTATATAATGATCTTGTTTCATTTTACAGTTTTTGACTTAAAGTCTATTTTATATGATATATGTATAGCTACCCCTGCTCTCTTTTGGTTTCTATTTGCATGAATATGTTTTTCTATCATTTTACTTTCTGTTTTACTTATTTCACATCTATGTGTGGTCTTAAAAATGAAGTGAGTCTCTTATAGGCAGAATATAGTTGGGTCTTTCTTTTTGATACCTTCAGCCATTCCATGTTTTTGATTGAATGAAAATGGATTAAAATTGTCAAAGTAATTATTGATAAGCAAGGATTTACTACTGCCATTTTGCTATTTTTTTGTTGTTTTGTAGATCATTTGCTTCGTTCTTCATCTCTATGGTCTTCCTTTGTATTAAATGGTTTTCTCCAGTGACATACTTTCTTATTTTCTATTTTCTGTGTATCTACTATAGGAGTTTTTTTTTTGTTTTGTTTTTGTTTTTGTTTTTTTTGCTTTATGGTTACTGTGGGGCTTATATAAAGCATCTTATGGTTATAACAGGTAATTTTAAGCTGATAACAGCTTGACTTTGATTGCATTAGAGAAACCTCCACACTGAGGACTTGCATTTCTAACAAGGTCCCAGGTGATGCTGATGATGCTAATTTGGGGTCCACACTCTAAGAACTACTGGCCTAGAACATTTATAAATTTCTATAGGCTTTGACATTTTGTGATTGAGAGTAACAAATAGTGGTCACTATCAATAAACTGATGATAAAACTATGTAACTTGGCATTCTAGATAATAAGCAACTAAGATATAGTTTGCCCATAATATATTCATCAGCATCTCCTGACAAGGTCTGTATAAAACTTGATGTAAATCCAATATTGATTCTACTTTCCATTTGAATACATGATGTACTTGATTGAATCGAGATTACATTTTAGAAATTTGTAGACATAACAGTCAATTTGCATGCAATCTGATTACTAAATGAGCTTGTCATTTAACATAATGATATTATATTATAACCTGCCCAGTGGTGTGAGTCTCTGATTACCTAACCTTCCTTGTAAAATATTTATCCCTAAGGCTGATGATAATGGAACTATAGTGATGGATAAATGAAATTTATACTGTACTTCTGTATCTTAGAAAATTAAACCAAAATGGACCATCTAGTTTGTTTCTAGTCAGGACACAAGCTGCAAAATTTATTTTTCTTATCTATTATTCTTCTAGGTTCATGAGTTCTGACGGAAATATTCCTATTTTCCTGCTTAATACATACAGGGTAAGCTCATTAATTACACTGAAATTAATGTGGCATTTAGTGTAGATACTCTAAAATACATTTGCATTGAGTGTTTGACCTTTTACATTATTAAAAATTAGAAAGTGCCAAAATTTAACACAGCACAAATCCAAAAATAGAATTAGCATGCTTCTGAACTTTTTTATATTTTGTTCAACTATCTTCCAATAAGAATTTCTTGGCAGCAAAACCATCTAAGAAAACATAAGTAAAACTAATTTCCTAAGCTATGTGGATACCATTAATGACATCATTTATTATACTAATTATAATAGAACAAGTAATTCTCTATGGCTGGGGCTCTAGTAGGCTGGAAGACTAAAAATGATCCCAGAAAAGAAAGAAATATAGATGGATACAATAAAAATTTCAGTTTAAAACTTTGAAATGTGTCCAAGAAACTTTGAAGAAAAAAGCAAAAACCCATACTTTCTCAAGTAGAAATTTAAATACACACATGTACTTCCCATATGCATACATAATCTTAGTTCCAAAACCACATAATTAAGATACATTGTTATAATAGACTTTACCTTCATAATAAAGTAAAAAATGGGTTTGAAAGGATAGGCACCATTCATGTTACTTTTCTTAACAGCTTATTTATATACTTGTACCCCAAGAAGTTTCACAGTTAAGCATATAAACTTTTAGGCAGTATTTCAAGAAAATGTGTATTGCTTGTTAACTGACAGTTCTCAAACATTATCATATATATGTTTTACATTAGATCAGGAGTTTTTGGTGAGAAATTATTTGGAAATACTATGGTCTGTTTGGTTTATTTTGTTTATTTCCCCACATGTGCATAAGAGGGTTCTTAACAGTTATGGTTCTATGGAATATCAAGTGAAGAACATCAAACTGTAGAAACAGGTTCAATCAAAATTATAGCACCGCCTACTTTGCAGTGTAATTGTTTTATTTTTTATTACTTTTAGCACATCCAGAATACAGAAATATGTATTTTAAAAAGGATTACATCTATTTTATTTTGCATAGACTATTTAATCAATATATCTCAGGTCATTATTTCTCATTACTCACTTCTTTCATAAAACCTCACAAGGGCCTTCAAGAGCACCTTCACACCCTGTCCATCTCCACCCACTATAAAAGGACACAACATGTGAAATAAAACCAACCTATATGTGCTCATGAACTTTTACCCTTTGAGATAAAAATACTTTCTTCATGATGACTTTACTGTCTCAACAGTATGTTTGCCTCTGTTAGAGAATAAACCATAAATGCAGGAGCTGTATTTCTTTATGTGCTGTGCAGTTCCTGATTTATTGATAGCTCTTAATCATAATAATCACCAAGTGAGTGGGTTTTGAATCTCTCCTTCATAAGCCTCTGTTTTAGCCATGAAATTATTTAAATGTAGCTTGCTGGGAATTACTGCCTTTGCTTCCACAGTACAAGGACTCCACCTTACTCTTTAAGCAGAAATTTATTTTGACCTTTCCCCTGTTCATATTCCTTCACACGTTATTTATCCAACAGGGCATATACTCCCTTTGGTAGATACTTGTCACCAAAGTCAAAGTCAGAAAATTTGACTACACAACAACAATACCAATTGGTAGTCTGTGTCAGTAACTGAGGCTGCAGAACAAGCATATGTGTTAATATGAAAACATTTGACTTAAGATTTTCTGAGGAAATTAAGTAGTCTGGTTGAAGGTTGAACTGATTTGGTCCTGAATCTCATCCTCCATGGCATAATTCTGGCCATAGATTGAAGATAGAAATAACAATCACAAAAATCATTGTCCCAAATGTGGTAATGTGTTCATCCATAAACACAGATAAATAACAATTTTGTTAGTACATGCCACTGATTTTGTAGCCTACAGACTTAGAAAACATGGAGAGTTCATATAATGTGTATAATTTATCATAGTATCTCCTTAAAAAGTATCTGTTTCTAATTAAAATCAGAGTTAAAATAACTGACCATTGTATATATGTATATATTCTATTCTTACAGATTATGAAAACTCTGCCATCACATAGTAAATTGAAGAATTGAACCATTTATCAATATAATTGAAAGGAGATTTTCTAAACGTCAACAGTACAAAATGTCTTCATTTTTCTGAGCAACTGACCTTCTTAGAATCATAAGCCCACTTTGGGATAATGAATTATAAAGTTAAAAGTCTTGTTTTTCATTGTCTCAGTGAAAACAACTTTCAATGAGATTCCTCAAGTCATCTGAACCTAAATCTTTATTCACCAAGTTAAAACAACAGACAAACATGGTCTCCCCCAGTCATTTTTCTCTTTGTATTGCTCTCTTCTGGGAACCCAGACATTAACCTTAAACATTTGGTTTAGGGAAAATCAATCCTCTTTCTGACATTTCTAGTTTGAATTACCTCTGTTTTCATTTGGCTGAATTGTTTTTGGTTTATATTTAACCAAAAGTCATGTGAAATAGAGAAATAAGGTAGAGTTTTTGTTAATTTAAACGAAAGTGACTATTTCTTCCTTCAACTTTTCTGCACTATACTTCTTCTACAGTAGGGGTCATAGCTATTTTTTAAAAATAAATCTGTTACTCACTAAATCTTCCCTTTGGAATTTCTTTCATTAGATTTATCAAGAGTAAATGAATTCTGTAAAATTGTGAGTCATCTTATTTCCTGCTTGGTGCATTTTTATACAGTTTTCTTGCATTTGACATATTAATTTCTTATTGCAGGTGGTTTTGCATTTTATTTAAGAAGAATTTTCTCAATGTTGTACAAATGGATTTTCCTTTTTTCTTGCCTTACTATGTAGTGATTGGGAAACTTATCAAATGTCTGTGATATTGCTAGGAATTATAATATTAACAAAAGAGCATTTCATAAAATTGTTATAATTACCAGATATACATGAAAATGTTTAGAAATTGTAATTCAACATAATTACTTTTACATTCAATAATTATTTAATATGGTAAAATGCCTCTGCAAAGTGTTAGGTGAAAATGGAGGCTTTATAATCAGATAAATCAATACAAAAATAGTATATGTAACATCATAAAACCAACCAAATTCTTAATAATGGACTTTCAATCTATCTTTCATATATCTTAATAGCTACTAATTATCATTTCTTCCTTTATTAAAGTTATTAAAATAAGAGCTAAAGGAGATAGTTTCTTATATCAATTCCTACTTTCTTTGGGTTAAATTTTTATAGAAAAGCATTGTGATTTATCTTTTGTGTTGGTCAGTTTTCTATTGCTATAAAGACTACCTAGGACTAGGGCAATTTATTAAAAAAAATAAGAGGTTTAGTTGGCTCACATTTCTGCAGGCTGTACAAGCATGGTGCCAGCATCTGTTCAGCTTCTTGTGAGGCCTCAGGAAGCTTTTAATCATAGAAGAAGGCCAAGGGAGAGCCAGCATATCACATGGTGAGAGAGAGAGAGCGAGCAAGACAAGGAGGCCTTGACAGACTCTTTGAAATAACCCGATTTCGTGTGAACTCACAGAGTGAGAACTCACTCATTACGGTGATGACAGCACCAGGACACTCATGAAGGATCCACCCTTATAAACCAAATATCTCCCACTAGACCCTCCTCCAACATTGGAGATTTTATTTCAACATGAGATTTGGAGGGGACAAAACCTCCAAATCATAACACCTTGCATTTTAATTTTAATAACAAAGACATAATTCTTTAGAAATTTGAGATAAGATTTCCATAACAAGTACTGATGGCTCCGTGACTTACTACGGGGTAACTTCTGGATAAGTTTGAGGATGTAACTCCATCATCAGTCAAGGAGTGTACTGAATACATGTGGCTTTCTTGCCATCATGTAGTTGAAAAATCGTTAGGTTGAACCATGATAAATCAGACACTATGTATATTTATTTGTTGTAGGCACTCTTTACCAGAAGAAAAAAGACACAGTTTCTGTTCTCAGGGAGCTTGTGATTTACTGTAGAAAGAGATGATTGCACTGTTAAACACATATTCATATAAAACGTTATGTGCCTTATCATGGGAGGGTGGGGTTCAGATGATATGAGAGAACCCTTGGCATGGGTGGGCCATGGAGTGCATAGGGTGGAGGAAAAAGGGTTCTCAGAACTAGAGCATCATAAAAGACCTCTGAAAGTGATGGTGTTAAAGAGGACTGAAATTTGAATTTTTCCTCCTTCCTTTGCCAATGTTATTTATAATATGTATTGACAATAGCTAACAGAAATTGCTTCTTATATAAGCCTTACTTTCTTTTACTCAAAACTTTGCAAAAACAATTCTGATTACTTTTACCTGGAGCAGGGAAAAGGAGCCTGGGTTAGGTTGCCCAGGCAGGGAAAAGCACATAAGATGGTTTTAATCTGAGAGAAAGAACAGTGACTTTTGGTAATTAAAACATCAGTATGGCTGACTTGGCAGCCCAGGTGGACCGTGTGAAGAGGTGGGAGAAAGTGGATGGAGAAAATACAGCCTACAGTGTAAAGGGCCTTAGAAGTCCTGGAAAGCAGTTCAGACTTTAAACACAATGACCCTGGGAGTCATGACAATGGGACCGTAGCAGTCATTTCTACTAAGACCATGCTTGCTGCAATGCAACAGATGGATTGCAGCAGGCTGTAGAGAAGACAAGTTTGGGAAACCACTTATGTGGCTATTTCAACAGTTTATGTAATCTGCCAATATTTGATGGCCTTGAAATTATCATTTAAAAATAGAACTATTAAAAATTAATGAATTTCAATTTGGCACTTAATAGCAAAAGCAAGGAAGCAAAAAAAAAAAAGATCAAGAAACAACCTAGATGCCTGACAACGAGTGTTGGTTATATTAATGATGCTACAGATATATGGACTAGAATACAATATAGCCGTTATAAATGATGTTGTTTAAGAATATTCATGATTGGGGAAAATGCCCAAGACATGTTGCTAAGGAAAAGGCTGATTAAAAAGTAGTCTTTAAGCCATGAGTCACTGAAAAACAAACAAACAAAAAACCAAAACAACAGCAACAAAACAAAAAAAATCCTCATCAAACTAAAGAAAAAAGCTGGGCATACGTTTATACCCAAATACCAATACAATTGTCTCTGGAGATGTGAATTTTAAAATAAAAAATTTCACTTTATCCTTGGTGCTCTTTTCTTTTTCCAAATTTTCTTTGGTGGCCATACATTATTTTACTCAGAAATACACGTACTTTAAAATAGATTTGTTTGTTGTAACAATAAAATCATTAAAGAAACATACAGAAGTCATATATCATGTTATTTGAAAAGAATGTAGTGTAGAGAAAAGTCACACATTTCTTGAAGAACAAAACACCATTCTCCTGCCTCAGCCTGCTGAGTAGCTGGGACTACAGGCCCCTGCCACCATGCCCGGCTAATTTTTTCTTTTTTCGTATTTTTAGTAGAGAGGGGGTTTCACCGTGTTAGCCAGGATGGTCTTGATCTTCTGACTTCGTGATCTGCCTGCCTCGGCCTCCCAAAGGGTAGTGATAACATTTCTAATCTGTGCAGTGTCCAAACTGCTCAGTGGCTGATTCAGAAAGGCCAGGTTAAATAAGGGCACGTGATATGAACCACTGTAAATATGATATCCCGTGCTTTTCAGAGGTCACTTTCATAAGTAAGAAAAATGGGGGGGGGGGAAGGGATGGCATTGGGAGTTATGCCTGATGTAAATGACGAGTTGATGGGTGCAGCACACCAACATGGCACATGTATACATATGTAACAAACCTGCACATTGTGCACATGTACCCTAGAACTTAAAGTATAATAAAAAGAAAAAAAAAACAATCTTTCTGAAACTATTATAGAACGGAAATAGAAAGTCTGAAGACAAAATATTCACATGAACACTTTTGCCCCCAAATTATCAGTTCTGACAAAATAAAGTAACAAAGCTTTTTGTGTTAAAGCAATTGTATTACACATGTATACAGATAAAGTACATTGGATGAATCATGTTTAATAATAGCACTTAATATCTTTTCCAGAAGCATAATGGGTAATTTTTCCAGCATAAGTGATTTATGAAAAAAAGAACTAAACAGAAACAAAATAAATGCAGGATGATTTAGCTTGTTATAAGCAATTTGAAAATATAATGGGGAAGAGGAGAAACTAATTGTAATACTGGAAAATTTTAAAATCCCACCTAATGAGAAGTCATTTGGTAAGCAGGGTATCTAAAGGAAAATATTAAAATACTCTGAAATTAGGTAAATCCATAGATTAGTGGCTATATATTTCATTTGCGGTTTCAGTGCAATAGAAAAAGTAAGCCAAATTGAATGGCTCCTATTTTTTTTGTGTGTGTGTTTTTAATAGAACATAGGGAAATAAAGAAAAACTAAAAATAGTAAAAATAATTCCATAAAAATAAGCTGAATTGCAAATCTTTCTTTCCTGCTGATTTCAATTTGTTGCCTTAAAATTGTATATGCTGGGAACCGATTCCCACCCCTTGAAAGACAGCTATTATAATTACTTTTATTTCCTTTTTATATCAAAGTCAAATGGCTTGGAGAATCAAGTTGTGTGGTTAAGTTTAGAGGTTGCTCAGCTGATATCTGAGACTGAAGCCACTGAAGTGTGAGATAACCGTAATAAAATGGCTCGGTCATTGAGGGCACCCTAAAACTGATTGATTCTCAGAATAGAACCACACCTCAGATTTATTATGCTGTATCTTCCACAAATGGCTGAAGCAGTCTGATTACTTAAGACATTGATTCTGCATGATAAACCTATTACATTTATATCCCATGGCCAAAACTTGTTGTGGAAGTAGTTTTCTTTATAGCATTTACTGACTTGCTGGGGGCATTTTATGATCTTGAATGCTTGTCAGGAAAATATTGGAGATAATCAAGCAATGCTGAAGAGCTACATGTGCCTTTCTGTTTATACAGAGTTGATGCAGAAACATTTTATGCTTTTTTCAACTTTTTTCCAAGAACGGACAATTTTAGTGATTTCAGAATGATAGGTGCTTTTCATAGTTGATTCTGTTAGTTTTTAGGTCAAAGACGAGTCAGGATTAATAATCTCATTTACAGAATGAGGTTAGGTGTTCCTAAATTTCAGATATTTAATCTTTAGCTCGTCTTCAGCATATTGCTGCTTACGATAAACTTCTTAAAAAATAGGAACTTCTAATTTTGAAACATCTTAATGGATTATAGAAAACCATCTGAAAACATTTAAAATGTCATGTGAAGAAGTATTTCCTTTTAGCTCACAACTCCATTTTTTTTTTTTTTTTGCTTATAGGTAAGTATACTAGTAATAATAGTAATACTTGGTAACAATAACAGCAAAAATGATGACAGTTAAGGGTGAATGTATGTTTACTATGTACTAGGGCCCATGTTTTCAATAATTACATTAAATTCTGTTTACAATCCAGTGACTTGATAAAATGATTTTTAGTTCTGTTTTGTACATTAACAAACAGAGACAATATAGTTGTTAAGTGTCCTGCCTGCAGTTGTATTGCTAGTACTTGACAGAGGATTCCAATGAAGTTGGTCTCATCTCAAAACCATCCTCTCTGCTATGAAGGATAACAATAGGAATAAGTTGAAGTTAAAGAACAGATCA